CATCCTTCCGCCTCAGCCTTCCAAATAGCCGGAACTACAGGCACGTGCTACCACGCCCGGCTAATTTTTGATTTATTGTAGAGATAAGGTCTCGCCAAGTTGCCCAGGCGGGTCTCGAACCCGTGGGCTCAGGCAATCCACTCACCTTAGCCTCCCAAAGTGCGGGATTACAGGCTGAGCCACCGAGCCCGGCGACAAATATTTTCTACTTTATAATTTAGTTCATAAACATCACGTCATTTGTTGCAGACTCCTGTTTCCAAAAGACAGACTATAAAGTAAGAGTGTATAATCTATAATTATTTGTCCTTTTCCAAACATTATTAACCTCAGGCCTATTTCTAGAGCACTGTGAGTTCTCTGTACCACTCATTCTCACTGTGACCAAAACAAGTAGAATGAAGCAGAAAGTTAATATACCATAGGATTTTTAAGTCTCTCCCTACCATGTAGAATAGTTAGGAGTCAAGAATGAAAGAACTTGGTGAATGGCTGCCCACCTTTATAAATGATCATTCTTATGCTACTGATATCAAGTGAAACTTAACTTACCAGCTCTGCAACTCAGCAAAGGCTTGTTTCATTTTCTTAATGGAAGCATCCATCTCTTCTTTAACTACAACTCGATAGCGTGCAAGAGACACTGTGCAGCGCTGGAGGTCTTTTACAGATTTTTCAATATTGGAACCTGGGTGGGGATACCCAATGATTAAAAAAAAAACACACAACACAGGAACTGGAAAATTGGATCTCAACACCTAAGCTGAATGTCATGTGGACTACAAACATTTCCTAAACGACTACCCTTCCCCAACAACAACAAATGATGTTTTCATAGACTTCTGCAAAAAATAAGTATCTCAGTCAAGATGGAGTAACAAAAATTGGATTTATCTTCCTATCTTAACTAAACACACACAGACAAAATTTATAAAACCACGATTTTCAGACACTGGACAACAGGTAGTTCTTTTCCCTGAGGAAACAGAAACAAATGAAGGGAGGCCGATAACTCCTTAACCTACGGCCTCAAGAGTTACCAGGCTGAAATGCAGGAAACATAAATTCTAAACTGAGCCTGGCAATCTCCCTAAGCTGAGGGGACAGAGCTGAGAATTCAGAAAGGCCATGGTGGCTAGAATTCTAAGGACAGAGTAGTGGCAGGGAGAGAGCCATACAAAGAGAGAGCTGCACAGAGCTTTATGGAGGATGCTGAGCACTGACCAGTGCGTATGTGTGACTCCTCAGGACAGGAAAAAGAGCAGGTGAAAAGGAACAGGCAGAACAATCCCCAAGCTCACCCAAGCCAAGAATAATTTGTGTGCACACCAGCCACAGTGGAAAACCCTCACAACACGTGGGGCACCAAGCAGAATACTTGGAAGAATACTGCCTCAGTTAATGAGGCAAAATTAGCTGTAGTCTAAGGGATGCTCTCATCTCACCCAGCAAAGCTTAAAAACAAACCTTAAACTGTTTCCACATAACCAAGTCCCAGAACAAATTACATGAGTATTTAAAGAAATTTTAAAATACCCAACAAACAACAAAGCAAAATTCACAGTGTTTGGGATCCAATAAAAAATTACCAGGCATACAGAGAAGTAGAAAAAGACCTATAAAAAGAAAACTCAACTAACAGAAACAGGTGCATGAATGACACAGATGATAGAATCAGGTAGATAAGGACATCAGGCAGCTATTATTATTAGATATTACATGGGCAAGAAGGCAGAGGAAAGCACAAGCAAGTTCAGGAGAGACATGGAAGATATTTCAAAAAATCCCAACTGAACTTCTGGAGATGAAAAATACACTGAATGGACTTAATAGCAGACTAGAAGCTGCTAAAAAAAGATTAATACACATAAGACAGCAATTTTAGAAACTCTCCACAATGAAATGAATACAGGGGAAAAAAGACTTAAAAAAAAGCTATCAAATTTTCAAAACTCTCTAAATGACAAGATTTAATAGAATATAATTCACCATGTAGACATTACAAAATTAAAAAGTTCTCTCTCTATAGTGCATTTTGAAGCATTGAATGTAAAGAAGTCAGTTTTGTGAAAAGGATGAAATTCATTTAGCTACCCAACACATTTTAACCAGTTTCCAAGAGTTTTATTAACCTTTCTATACTTATAATTGCCGATGTTATATACACAACGGATTCTTGGAATCATGGATCTAAAAAGCTTTTAACTATGCCAAGATTACATTTTCAATTTCTTATTTAATTTCTTCCTCATCTCAACTTGATTTCCTTTAGACCCTACCAGAAACTTTCAAGGTTTATGCTCTTCTACCTTCTTTTATTTTTCTTACTTGGACAGTCTCAGACTTGCTGTTCTACAGCAAGCTGAAGGCTACTAGAAAAATGAAAAAGGAGAGCTTCACTAATTACTGGAATAAATAACTCTATTAAGAGCTACTGGTTGCAAGTGTCCTTGACAGTTCTACTTTTCATTTGTTTAATGAAGTGGACAACCACACTTAGTAAATGTTTGAAACTCAGAGGGGCAATTATATGTTTGTTTAATCACTGGCTGTTTATTTAAATGATTGTTATGGGTTTTTTTTTCTGTAAAGCAAAGAGCTACCACCAGCCAATGCTAAGTACTTACTTAAGAGAAAATAATTGTATTTAAAGCTAGAGTCTGTCAGACATGAAGTTATGAGGGGGAGTGAAAATATTTCTTTAAAATGTCATGTCAGAGATGGAAGAGCTTTTTACTTATTGAGTCAACTAAGAGGTGAAAATGAATAAAACAGCACAAAATGTTGTAGTAAAGCAAATAAAGGAAACAGGTTAATGTTAGCAGATAAGTCATCCTGGCAGTAGAGTTTGACTTTAATTCACAAAAAGAGTCTCTGTCATTGTAACAAGACTATACAGCATTTAAACTACTATTAAGCTCCAACTGTGTACACAGAGACAGGAAAGGGCTGGGTAGTCACAACCTGGAAAACAGAAAAAAGATTACCCGATGCTCCTCTGAAGCCCTATGTATGGGAATAGAGATAATTTGTCCTCTTTAGCCAAAAACATAAAGTTTTCATTCTCTCTCCCAGGTGGGCTTCTGACTTACCTAGTTTTTTATTGGTGGATGAGACAGGAACGTCTTCCAGATTTGAGAACTGAGATCTTGAGAGAGATTTGGCAACATTCCTGGATTGTTGAGAATTCGGAATAGAGTGCATAGTCAAAGACTTGGACTCCATATCAGAGACACCATTCTCCAGCATGGATCCTGTCCAAGAAAGAGGATAACATTTTAGAGCACAATTTAGGGGTACATCAAGCAGTCAATATAACAGTCTGAAGTAAATAGGTAAACATGTAAAAATGTTTTAGGCAAAACCATGCCTCTTAAAAGACTGTGAACAAAATCAACTGAAAAAATAGAACAGAGATCAGAATCAACTGGGTGTGGCTATCAGTGGCCTCTGGCTTAGTCCTAGGCAGTACCCTGAATGAGGAAAAGGAATCTGTGGTAGCACATCCTCAGATAGGGAGCTCATTCCCTGTAGCTCAGTGGCTTCCTTGTAGCTTGGTGGCTTCTTTGTAGCTCTGGCACAATGAAGTGAAGAGAGTCAATATTACGACTTTCTACCTAGCTTCCATAAGGTATGTTGAGAAAAAGTTTTACACTCCCTCAGGAAAGAATAATTTTAAAAACTTCAGGGGCTAGAAAAGGTAGAGTTAGGAAATGGGAGAAAACATAGCTCAGAAAAAAATGGAAGCCATCAGTTATTGTTTGAGGTCAGGGATGATGCAATGTTTTTCTCTAAGTCTTTTTGTGTGTGCGAGCTAATCAATAAAATAACATCTAGAAAGCACAGCATAATTTTTACATTGACATTACATTTATAAATCCAGGAGCAGTAAGGCAAGAGGAACTGGATTAACAAATAAGTAATTTTAAAAAAGATATCTCTTTTTAATAATCTCGCAATATCATCCCAACCCTCAATGAAATGGTTAACAAAAAAATGTACAAGATATGTGAATTTACAACTAACACTAATCTTAACTCTCTACTGGAAAACAAATGTGGATTATAAAACCCAACAGTCTAGTTCTCATGAAAACTGAGATTATAGTAATTACTATATATTCCTCACTGTGTTGTCTTAGAATAATAATATTAACATCATCTCAACATTATCATTTTCCTTAATAAGTTTACAATTTAAAAAAATCTGAAAGTCATCTTCTGTAGTCTCTAAATGTTAAGGTACTCCTTTTGCTATTCAGTTAGAAGATTCCATAAGATTGATTTGGACTACAGTTATATAAGACAATGAAACAAGAAATACGTTTTTCTAGGTCTTTGGTAATTATAAAACATGACTCTACCACACAAAAGGTAACAAAAACTAAAAGGTAACAAAAGACCAGCTAGATTTAATGTCCTGATTGCTTTCTCAACCAGGAGGGCCCTCTATTTCTCAACTAAATGCAACTTTTCAAAAGCATGATTATAAACTTACCTGTTCTGTCCAGTATATCTGGAATGGAAGACACAGGATCCTCCAATTCTCTGGCATCTACTGAAAGTGTCTCCAAACCTTCACTGAGTGAGTCCACAGACTCAGTGTCATTGGTGGCACCATTGACATGGTAACCATTCATACCACCTTTTTCTGAGGAAGGTGCACACTGCTCCTCTTGAATGGAAACTGATTTACTGGAATCTGGGATACTGTTACTTGCTTCTACTGCAGGTTTTGGTTTGCTTTTCTTCTTTTTGTTCTAAAGTTATTAAAGATTTGAAAAAAAGAAAAGAAAAAGAAGACCCCTCCCCACAATCCAAAGAAGTAACTCTAGTTACACAAAGATAAACAATGTTAACAATTTCTTCTAGAAATTTAACACATTTTTGTATATGTTGAACTACTGCCTAAAACAAAATTTTACTATGTAAAATCCTATACTTTGGATAGACGCAAACATAAACACAAAACATTTCTTCATGACAAAACCCACTTTTAGCAATTTCAAAAGGTAAATAACAAAACATGAAAAAATGTGCAACTTATATTCAAAGAGCTAAATACAGAGATCTAACAAAAAACAAACAAAATAAACCAATAGAAAAAATGGTATAAGCTGTAAATACATGAAATGAAGTGTAACCTCAGTCTAATAAGAGACACATAAATTAAAATTACCAGGTGTGGTGGCTCACACCTGTAATCCCAGCAATCTGGGAGGCAGAGGCAAGAAGACAGCCTGGGCTCAGGGTTCGAGACCAGCCTGGGCAACTTGGCAAGACCTTGTCTCTACAATAAATAAAAAACTTAGCTGGGCGCCTGTAGTTCTAGCTACTTGTAAGGCTGAGGCAGAAGGATCGCTTGAGCCCAGCAGATTGAGGCTGCAGCGGCCATGAGCATGCCACTGCATTCTAGCCTGGGCGACAGAATGCGACTCTAACTCAAAGAAAAATAAAAGCATCGCCTGAGCCCAGCAGGTCAATGTTGAGGTGGCCATGAGTGTGCTACTGCACTCCAGCCTGGGTGACAGAGTGAGATTCCAACTCAAAAAAAAAAAAATTGCACTGCAATTATCATGTTTCATCTATTAGGCTAGTGAAGTTCAAAAAGTATATTAACACTGCAGTATTGGTAGGTTGAGGGTAGAGAGAAACAGGCATTTGTATGCATTACTTGTAGGAGTGTAAAATGGTACTCTCTATGGCCTCCCTTTCGTCCCTACTTTGCGTGGTTTGAGATCAGGTATCCTTATTGATGCTGTGTTCTCCCCACCCCCCGCCTTCAAGAGAAGATGTTTTTTAAGCTGGTGAACTGAAGGTATACATGTAAACTTTTCTTTCAAATATTTTTACAGATCCTAGACTTTTTAAAATAATATAAACATCAACATTATGGTTTTAAATTTAATTCATTTTTACCTTTTTCTTGCCTGTTACTGTCCATTCTTTGAGTACTTCACTGGCACTACCTGTAAGAGAAACCAATGATAGAGTTTATCTCCTAGGACACATACAAGTCAAGCAGGAATTAGTGTCCTCCCATTCTGTAATTGCTGGAGATCTTCCAAAGTTCCTAATAGAAACAGTTAAGGACCAGGTGTCTGAGTAATGTAATGAGATAATCCTGTCATACCTCCCTTCTGGAATACCTGCCTATTTAGATCCGTCTTCTCCATGTAATTGCCTCAGTAAGTTCTTCCAATGGATTAACACAGCCTGGTCATTTAGAAGATTCTTCTATCTATACATCTTAGACCAAATACAAAGAAAACTGGTTTTGGCCCAAATGTGCCATCTCCTCCCCTCCAGCTTTCATACCACCTTGGCTACATTGTTTTGGAGACAGCTGCATCCCCAGATCACTAACATTATTTTTATTTATTTTTTTGAATCAGGATCTTGCTTTGTCACCCAGTCTGGAGTGCAGTGGCACGATCACAGCTTTGACCTCATGGGCTCAAGTGATCCTTCCACTTCAGCCACCCAAGTAGCTGGGACTATAGGCACACACCATCACGTTTGGCTCCATTTAAAATTTTTTTGTAGAGACAAAGTCTCACTATGTTGCCTAGGCTAATCTCAAACTCCTGGACTCAATCAATCCTCCCATCTCAGCCTCCCAAAGTGCTGGGATTCAGGTATGAACCACCATGCCAGGTCAACACTAACAATATTTAAAAAAAAAAAAAAAAAAAAAAAAGGAAAGAAAGAAAACTTTCCAGTATTCAAACATGTTTATCCTATGCTAGCAAATTCAGGAAAGTGAAAACAGGGAGACCTATCCTGATGTTATTTAAAGATGCAATGGCTTCAGGTAGTTTTTCTCAAATGGGTTAGGTAGAAAGAAGTTTGTAAAACACTTCAACGCTATAAATCTGAAGGCTTGACTAAGTCTGCCATTCTTCTACATGTTCAATAAGGAAATTCAAACCCACACATTTGAGTCACTTTCCAGAGCCAAACAAATGATATTAGAGTCCGGAAGAGAATGCTGAATCCTTGAGTTTGCCATCTGTTGCTGGGCCACTGAATCACTACTTTGTTAGTAAGAATCTCTTAAATTCTCATTCCACCCAACTCCAATCATGTCCCTTATACTGCCTGCTGTATGATTTCTTTTTTAAATACCAGTAGAGAAAATTTTGAGTAAAATAATGGAGTCCTTTCAGCTTGTCTTATTATAAACATTATATAGCTTATAAATGAATTGCCTCTATAGCTGAAAGAGGTATATCTTACATTTTTATAATGTCATGGTATGGTATATTATCATGGGGTCTCCTATATTGTCTATGGACTGGACTGTTGAATGTTATAAAAGTTTGAAGCAAATTCCATTTGAAATACAAACTTATTTTAAAAACTGAGCTAGGATTACCTTCCATGAATGCTTGTACTGTTTTATCCACACAATTATCAAAGTGCTGCAAAACCAGGATGATTTCATTGTTGCTCTTATTGGGAACTATTGCACGCACTGCATTTATCTGGAAAAGATGACAGGGTCATTTAATTCTAACATCAATAGTTCAGTAGGAAGCTGAGGCCTATTAGAGAGAAGAACAAAAAGACTGATACTTCATTTTTAACAATATGTATCACTCTTTAGTGTCAGTGAGAATAGATACAACCATCTCACTGGCAATGATTAATAGATGAGTGATAACAGCATACGAAAAATTAATTTCAAAACTTAGAAAAGCAGAACATTTCTAGAAATAAATGGTATATACTAATTTTTATACCAAGAAAGGGTGGTTTAATTTAAGTATCAGGTATTAATTTAGCATCAATATTTCCTCATTTTTAGCATGCTGTAGAGAAAGGTGAAAGTTTAATGAGCTACCAATAACGACTTAGATTTTTCAAAACATTTTTGAAATTTTGTACAATAACTCTATAAAGATGACTTATACAAATAATTTAAATTATTATAAACTATTTCAGGCATATAGAACATAATGAAACCTACTACATGATACCCAGTTAACTAAAACAGAACAAATATAATTGAAGCCCCCAGGACTGCCTAATAAATTCCATTTTCCTTCTTCTATTCCCAGAGATTTCTATTCTGAATTGGTATTATTTCAATACATGCTTTTGCATTTTAATGATGTATGTATGTAGCCACAGGTAAAATACACTATTATTTTGTCTAACATAAATATATCATACATATTTATCTTTAATTTTTCTTTTTTTTGAGTTGGAGTCTCACTCTGTCACCCCGGCTGTAGTTTAGTAGCACACTCACAGCCACCCCAGTGTCGATCTGCTGGGCTCTGGCGATCCTTCCACCTCAGCCTTCCAAGCAACCAGAACTACAGGTGCACGCTACCATGCCTGTGCGTGCTACCACGCCGGGCTAATTTGTTATTTTACTGTAGAGATGAGGTCTTGCCAAGTTGCCCGGGTTAGTCTCAAACCCACGGGCTCAGGCAATCCACTTGCCTTGGCCTCCCAAAGTGCTGGGATTACGGGTTGAGTCACTGAGCCCAGCCCAATTTGCTTTTTTCACGTAGCGTGGTTTCTTATATTTTTTTCCACCATTGATAAATGCATCTCTTATTCATTTATTTCAATTGCTACATAGTATTTCCATTGTATGATATAGCCGACTTACTCACTTTTTGGTTGATGGACACTTACATTGTTTATAATATTTGGTTATTAGGAACAATGCTGTAATTAACAGTTTTATGCTTACTTGCTACTGAACCCTCAATGCCTAAAACACTGTAAGTTCAGAACACTGTAAGCAATTAAAAAAAACGGTCTTGTGTGAACAGTGACAGACTATGTCTGTTGTATATAGCCACTAATAGAATTTCTCAATATTAGGGCATCTACAACTTCACTAGATAATGCCAAATTGCTCTCTAAAATAGATATGCCAATCTTGTCAGATGTATTTCTAAAGTATTTTATATTTTTGAAGATTAAATATATACAATTTCCAATAACTGCATATTTCGTTTTCATTTTTATATATAAATTTTATATCCGGCAATTTTGATGAATTATCAGTCCTGTTAAATTGTTGCTTTTTAAAATTTCTGTGTGGATAGTTGTATTATTTTATTTTATTTTATTTTTTTTGAGTTGGAGTCTCACTCTGTTGCATAGACTGGAGTGCAGTGGCCGCTCCCGGCCACCGCAGCCTCGACCTACTAGGCTCCGGCGATCCTTCCGCCTCAGCCTTCCGAGTAGCCGGAATTACAGGCATGCGCTACCACGCCCAGCTGATTTTTTGATTTATTGTAGAGATGAGGTCTTGCTGCCCAGGCGGGTCTTGAACCCGCGGGCTCAGGCAATCCGCTCACCTCAGCCTCCCAAAGGCGCAGGATTACAGGCTGAGCCACCGAGCCCGGCTGATAGTTGTATTATTTATAAATAACAGCAGTTTTTTCTTCCTTTCCAATTCATATAATTTTTATTTCTTGTCTTACTGTACAATGCAAAATTGGCTATTTCTCAAAGAAGCCCTGAATTCTTTTGGTGGAGAAAGATAGTTAAAAATCATGATCAGACCAGGCATGGCGGCTCACGCCTATAATCCCAGAAGTTCGAGACCAGCCTGGGCAACATGGAGAGACCTCATCTCTACAATAAATCAAAAAATTAGCCAGGCATGGGGGTGCGTGCCTGTAGTTCCAGCTACTTGGAAGGCTAAGGTGGAAGGATCACCTGAGCCCAGCAGGTTGAGGTTGCAGTGGCTGGGAGCGTGCCACTGCACTCCATTCTGGGAGACAGAGTGAGACTCCAACTCAAAAAAAAGAAAAGAAAAAAGAAACCAAGATGAAGGAGCTTGGTGTGCTTATTGCAACTGGGGAATTATTGTTTCTAGATTATTTCAGTGGATTAAACTAAGAGTTTGTTGTTATTAAATCATGGATTCATATATACTTCAATTCAAATATACTGTTAAAAGGCCTTTTCTCATCTGATTATAAACATGTATCTCTTTTCTCTTCACCAAAAGTTTTAGTTCCTAAAAACATTAATTTACTGATCTGCTTTATTATATAACAGTCACAAAATAATATTAATACTAACAACACTACAATAGTAATTATCATTACTACTAATGATAAAACTATCAAATGAAATTTGATTTATTTACAGTTATTTTTGTCCTTTAAGTATAGCCCTCTAAACCTGAATAGTAAGACTACTGTGTTCCTAAGTTAGTGGGAAGATTGATTCTAGTTTATCCTTTCCCTGAAGGTAAAATATTTTTTAAATGCCAACCTTACATAAGACCTCAGTCCCAATCTTTAACCCAGGACAAGGCCTAGGCCTCATGACTCTGTGTGGTAAACCCATTTGTGACTGAGAATGGCAAAATACGCCCCAGTTACCCAGCTCAGGCTTACTACTCTGGTCTTAGTTCTCTCTCTCTCTATATATATATTTGGCCCCTAGGGATTTCCCTTATGTCTTCTGTTCAGGTATGCATTTAAAATTATGTATGTTATTTTTCATTCAGTATTTCTAGGTGTTTTATATTAGAAATGTCTTCAAGTTATCTGAGCAGTCATACTGCTCAAAAAGGAAGTCCTAAAAAGAGATGAAAAGACAGGCTTAGAAAGGTAAAGTCTCTTATCCAAGTAATATGCAGAGTCTGCATTAAAACTGAAATATTTTTAGTCCTCTTGCTTTCCCATCACTCCACTCTCTTTTTGTTTCAGACTTAATTCAACAACAATATGGTTTAAAACCATACATGTGCTACAGCATATGGCATACCATACAAAGAGGGCTAACTTACACATTTTCAAGATGAGGAAAAATTTCAACATTGATTCCTAAAAAATGGACTTTAGAAAAAACTTACAAATTCCATGATAAAAATAAGATTCTGGTCATTTAAAATGTGTTTATATTACTGAACCACTGTGTATCTATGACTTCATAGTGAAAAATATACTTTAAAAATATAAAATAAAGCAAATAAAGCTTTTGTTTTATGTTTTTCTCAATATGGCTCATTAAGGGTTATATTACTAAAAACACCTGGTTTTCTTCAAAAGGATTACTCCTTAGAATATCTATTTTTCTTCTTCTTCTGAAGTCCCCTGGGCTTAGAATGCACTTCAGATTGTTCCTTAAAGAAGGTTGCCAAATGAGGTACACACTCAGTCATATAAATATTAGTTAATATTGAATGTCTTCAGGATAGCTTAGAATATATAGAGAGATATGCAAAGAAAATCATGTTTGCACTTAACAGGCTCTTATTCCTCCCTCTGATACATATCCTCTCTGATATAGAGTGGCACTGTTTTATTCTTAAAATTTCATTTCTGTAATGAGTTTGTGATAGTTACTGATTGCACTAGTACCTAAATGTTCCTATGACATTCAAGTTTACTATCCTTAGTGAGTAGTCTTACCTTCTCTTTCATGTTCTCGAAAGCTCCTCCTTGGGCCAGCACAGTATTGGACTGCAAATCAAAAATGAATCCTGATGAATCTGCAAGAATGAGAAGGGAGAAATACGTTCAATGTGATCCAAAACTAATATGTAATCCACTTCCAGGATAGAAGGGCCAAGATTAGCTGCCTTTTTTTTGTTTTGAGTTGGAGTCTCACTCTGTCGCCCAGACTGGAGTGCAGTGGCCGCTCCCGGCCACCGCAGCCTCGACCTGCTGGGCTCCGGCGATCCTTCTGCCTCAGCCTTCCAAGTAGCTGGAACTACAGGCACGCACTACCACGCCCAGCTGATTTTTTTATTTATTGTAGAGATGAGGTCTCGCTGCCCAGGTGGGTCTCGAACCCGTGGGCTCAGGCAATCCACTCACCACAGCCTCCCGAAGGCGCGGGATTACAGGTTGAGCCACCGAGCCCGGCTTGCCTTTTTTTTTTTTTTAAGACAGGGTCTTGCTGTCACCTAGGCTGAAGTGCAGTGGTGCAATCATAGCTCACTGCAGCCTCAAACTCCTGGGCTCAAGCAATTCTCCTGCCTTAGCCTCCTGAGTGGCTGGGACTACCGGTGTATGCTACCACATCCAACTAATTAAAAAAAATTTTATTTTGTAGAGATGGGTTCTCACTATGTTATCCAGGCTGGTCTTGAACTCCTGGCCTCAAGTGATCCCCCTCTCTTAGTCTTCCAAAAAGCTGAGATGACAGGCATGAGCCACTACACCCAGTCACAAATTCTATTACATAAGTAATTTACAACTACATTGTGGGGTAGAATATAAAAATTAGGTTTTAACAGAAACTGTCAAAGCATGAGGAAAACACTAAATACATCAACTATATTAAATGTCCTACAATCTTTGATATAATTGTTAATTAGATTACTTTAAAAGACCCTCTAAAAATGATGCAAGTAAATAGCTCCCCATGGAAAAATTTAATACTAAAGAATCTGAAAACATGAGTGGAGTGGAAGCTTATGTAACATTAATAATAACACATGAAAGTAATTTCCTCTTCTAACTGCACCACACATGTTATGTTGTTAGACTATAAATCTAGGAATATATCCAATTTTGTGTCCTCAATATATTGCTTGATGAAGCAGTGTCCTGAGTTTACATTAAACAAATGAAACTCTGGACCCCAGAAACAGTGTGCCCAAGTTTACATTATAGGAAAACAGGTTCAGTGTGATTGATTACAAAAAAAAGATTCTGGCTATTCTGTTCTTACAAGAAAAGGCCATGTGCAAATTTAATCAGTTTCTTTACTCATGACTATATGATCAAAAAATTACCTCAGCTTTAACATTCAACAACTTTGTTTTAGTCCAATGAGCTGCAATCCCAAGAAATGGTTAAAGTGCTTTTCAAATTCTAATGTGCAAACTTATCATCTAGGGAATCTTATGCTAAAATGTACGCTGTGATTCAACACTCTGGCCTGTGGCCTGAGATTTTTTACTCCCAGGTGATAACATTACTGATCCCTGAACTGTACTTGGAAGTAGCTTCAGAGTTAGAATTTCAACAAGGTAAATAAAAGGGGAAATTTTGAGAAAAGGAATATTTTAAAAACCAGTAATTTTCTAGTACACTTTCCAAATTCTTTAGTTATTATTACAGATATGTTTTAATTAAAACCTCTTTTACAGCTTAATCTTAAACCCTGAATTAATTTAGATTTAACCTCTACTAATACTGGCAGTTTCTAGACTGTTACTCAAATGAAAAATTAGGTTGTATTCACACAAACTCGGTTTTTAAGCCTGAGTCTTCCATATGAAAACATAACATGGTTAACTCCCAATTATATTTATTAATTGAAAAGTGATACAGTATATAAAGATGAAGATCCTATACCGCCAAAGTACTATCTAGAATCGTCTTAGAATTACCATAAATCAGAAGAATGATATAACCTGAATGTTTTAATGTCTCCCAAAGATATATCAATGGTATCAGTGAGAAGTGAGAAGATACAAAGGATATCAATAACTCACTTATTAGAGAATCAAACCACCAATCCCCTTTAGGGAAAAGAGGGAACAAGTAAAGTAAATTAAAGTATTTTGGGGTATATATTTAAATGAACTACTATTATTATTAGACTTTTATACTCATCTGACACTGTTACATTGTCCTTTAACAATACACCAGACAACATAAACTGCAAGGAAAACAAAGGATAGCTCTGCAAATACTCAGTTATTGCCCAAAAGAAATCAGCATAAGTACTACTAGGGTTAATCTTGATTACCAACTAGGATAATGATAAAAAATGCATGAAAGCAGCTATTTCAGTCAGGATCCCAAAGGAAACTGAGTGGCATACTCAAACTGGGAAATCTAAATAGAGTTTCATAAAGATGCTAGCAGGGAGTAGGGAAACCACCAGAACAGTGCCTCTTGGCTAACGTGCATTGCCATGCCAAGGTTTTAAAGCAAGTAACAAGGGGGCAACTACTGAAACCCACAGATAGAAAGGGTTCTTTCATCTTTGTTTTATCCAGTGTGGAAAGGATCATGAGACAGTCGCTGTGACCTTTGGCCAAAGGACACATGCAGCCCACACATACCTCTCAGAGAAAGACTGGAGGAATAACTACCCTTACCTCATTCTCCTCTCTGCCTCTGAATATCCTGCCAATGCTGCCTAACCCAACCAGGCCAGGGGACATGGGAGTCACTGACATAGTCATACAGGTCAGCAGGGCACAAATGATAATTTTGCAATAATCCACCATCTTAAATTCTCTATTCACTAGCTAACACTGTCTTTTTATGAGACTGCCTTTTTAAACTTAAACTAATACATCAAGTAGATTCAAAACCTCACTTCAGTGAACCGGAGCTCAAGTGACTCAGCATTATAGAGAAAGTAATTTTTAATTCCTGTCAATAATATTTAGTGATTAAACAACTCTTATTTTTTTCATGAAAAGAAAGCCAAATATTTACCTAATTCCACTGATAAGGCAGAATTTCATCTTTCTATTTAGCTATGAGAGAAGAGCATGCACTCTATTAAAAATAAATTTTTAAAGAAAAAATTGCTGTTAAATATTATTCTCTAATTAATCTTGGGTGTTAAGGTAACAAAATTACTCTCAAGCAAGATTCATAAAGGATGCGAGAGACTCTTGAGTTTTATTGTTTATTTCTTTCTATCAAGAACCATCTCAGAAGTTTTTTGGAATTATTTCAAGCTGGCGCACATCCAGGCATATTTTGGAAAAAGTATGTTATTTACAGTACAACTGACATATTTCTAAATACTGCAGGTTTTGTTATTGTTTTTGTTGGTTTCAAAAATCAGGTAAAGGTTGTTTTAGGCACTGAGGATAATATAAAAATAACGGAGCCTGATTATTTCATATATTAAATTAATGTTGAACAGGTATCTTGACAAGCTTTGAAATACAATCTAATTCTGTTGTAAATTTATAATTTAACCTGATGATCCTATTTAGTATTTTAGAATTAATTTGGTTTAATGTTCTGATTATGTTTGTACCCAGGAAGCCTATTTATTAACAACAACAACAAAACCCCAGAAAACAAGAAGTGTTGGTGAGGATGCAGAGAAACTGGAATTCTGGTGCCCTGCTTGTGGAAATGTAACACAGTACAGCTTATGTAGAAAGTCACATGGCAGTTCCTTAAAAGATTAACAGAACTACCATATGATCCAGCAATTCCACTTCTTGGTATACACACAAAAGAAATGAAATGAAAACAGAGACTCTAAGAGATATTTTGTGCATCCACGTCCAACACCAGGCATTAAGTATATAATCATGAACAGGTCATCTATGGTTACTGCCCTTTTACAGTTTTACACTCTAGGGTATGGGATCAGCAAAAATATAAATTAAATAGCCATCTCAATAAGATAGCAACCATGCATTAACTTATCAAACTGCACAGTACTAAATACTAGACCTCCACAGTGACACTATTATGGAATGAAGATTATTGAAAGCTCTACCATCTTAGGTCCTATCTAAAGAGCTTTAGCAGAACTAATATTATGCACACACAATAAAGGTCTTAGAAGTACTCGAGTGGATTTACCCATAAATAAATCCATTCAGATTGCCTCCATCACGGAAAGGCCGATGCCCAAATTCCAGGCTGCTTGCTGAAGAGATAAGTGTAGAAGGAACTCAAGCCAGTCATGGACTAAATCTAAGGGTTCTCACGGGGCTAATGAATTTGTGTCCTTGAATTCAACAACAAAAAGTACAGTTTTAGATCACTAGTATCTTTTATTTGTTAACATATAATGGCAAATTATTCCAACAAATGAGGAGAAAGATGGAATTATAATCCCTCCCAGAATACTCTCTCTTAATATTATATTGATGAGAAAATCAGTCATGGTACTATTCTTTGCCCAAAGTCACAGAGTAAATCCTACTGTAGAATTAAGAAGGAATTTCAAGTTTTATGCTATACATAAGCACTGTAACTCTTCAAATACACTAGCTCTCAAATTGCTATTTTTTTTTTTTTGAGTCAGAGTCTCACTCTGTCACCCAGGCTGGAGTGCAGTGGCATGCTCACGCCCAGCAGCTTCAACCTGCTGGGCTCAGGTGATCCTTCTGCCTCAGCTTTCCAAGTAGCTGTAACTACAGGCACGCACTACCATGCCTGGTTTAAGTTGCTATTATTTTAACAGTACCTTGATAGATCACCTTTCTTCTAAGGATCTCAGATTCTTGCTATAACTCACTGATATTCCTTACAGATATGTAAAACAAGTCGGGTAGCAATATAATTCACATTTCACCATGGCCAAAGAAAGTTCAGAAGAGGTAAGATCCAATTAAATATAGGTGAAGACTAGTGATAAAAATCTAGAAGTCCAGATAACCAGATAAGTGTGATCATCACTTGTCATATTTTCTCTAATAGTATCAACTTCCTATTAAAAATTAAAAAGCAAACTCAAGAGCAGAGACAGTGTCAATTCTTGCAGAAATAGTATCTCATGAACAATTAAACAAACTGAAGTTCTCCTTTAGACTGAACACAACCAAAA